CCATGCGGGCAGGGGACTGGGCTCGATGACCTCTCGAGGTCCCTTCCAGTCCTAGAATCTATGAATCTATAACAATGTACAGAATGCTACAGTTCTTCTTCTTACCTGGAAACCACTGATCTATCAAGGAGTTGACATGATCTGTGATGAAAGCCATTGCTGAAAAATCTCTCGCTTCTGATTGGCAAATGATTTTAATTCCACCACTTTTTTTCCTTTTCCAGTTCACATCAGAAGATTCCACACTAAGTAATGGAGAGCATGAAACACCCAAATAAGGCATTTGTAAAGCATGAATGTTAACAGTTTTTCTGTAGCAAAATCATTGATAAGCAGAGCCACAAAACCATAAGTAATTAACAAGTACTTAAAAGGCAAGTGTCTTCAATTACATATAAATATGATCCCCAAACTGAATCTATCATGCAAATGTCTTTGGAGAGAGCATTCTTGCACAGAAATAACCAAAAGCTGGATGCTTACAAAGTGCACATAGTAAAGAAGGTCTTAGTCTGAGTGAAGAGAGGATGGTGGAGATTATACTGGAAGCAATAAAAGTGCTGAAGGGTTAAGAGTCTTAAAAACCAACACTAAAACTCTAAGGTCCATATTTTCAAAGGAGCTTCAAAAACATGCTTGCAAAATATGTGGATATATCCTTTTGTGTACAGCCCCGGGTATTTGTGCACAGAAATGGGTTCTTGTGCAAACTGGGTAATTTTATGCAAAGAGCTGAACATTCTTCTGCCCCAACAAAGCCGGAGTAAGTGGGCTTTGTGTGAGAATAGAATATGGATAGGTAGATAGTACACATCCGCCAAAGCCAAGAGAGAGGAAGGATGGTCCAGTGGTTTGGTACTAGCAGAGAACTTGGGAGTCCTGGGTTTAAGTCCCTGTTCTGCCACAGACCTCCTGTGAGGAGAGTCACTCAGCCCAGATTCTCAAAGGTATTTAGGTACCTAACTCCCATATATTTCACAGGAGTTAGGCACCTAAGTCCCTTTGAGGATCTCGGCACTAGCCTTTCTGTGTCTCAGTTCCCCATCTGTAAAATGGGAACAGCACTTCCCTATTTGCAAGGGCTGCTGTGAGGAGAAATACACTAAGCTCGTGAGGTGCTCAGATACTACAGTATCTCCATGGCTGCTAATCTATCCTAGTGGGTGGAACAGTGTCCACATGCCCAATACCCAGACTAATGGGCACTGCATCTTTGTAAGAATAACTACAGTTGTTTTGCTTCACCCAATGGAAGGCTTTGCACTGGTCTAGCCCTACCACATCTCACATGCCCCCTTCTGCAAGCAAAGCCCCGGGGCTTAAGTAGCACAGAAAAGAAAAGCCCTCTGCGGGTGTGAATTGCAGCCATATGGCAGAGAGTTTTAAGAGCACTGTGCAGAGATCTGTTCATTCAAACACTTGTTTGCAAGTGAAAATGCAAGATTTTCCAAAAGCAAACAGTTCCGCTCCAAACATTACTTTACATTTTTGGAGGTCTTTATATTTGTAGCTGCAACAGTATCTGTAAGAAATAATAAGTGATACATTCATAATTGGCAAACAAAGACTGATCCATCACTGTTGAGCTTTGCTTATATATAAAAAAGCCTCCTCTTCAGTTGAAATTAGTGAATGTGTAATATTTGGGTCAGGTCTGTTAGTGTCCATTTAGCATGCAGTTTTATGAAGTAGGCTACAGGCGAGCACAGATTACCTGAGGTAGCCTCCATCAAAGGTGACAAACAGACCTTCCTGCCAGTAGACTGTATGAGTTCTTTTGACTCGGAATGTGCTGCAGCGGTTTCTTTGAGTGCCTGTAAAGCTGTAGATGGTCACATTTTTGTTCCTGCTCTTGGTGTTCTTCTTGTTCTCAAAGAGCTGAAATGAGCAGCGTGACACAATAATTCAACACCGAGACGTCTCACATGGGGGTTCCCCTTAATCAAGCAAACAGGGCTGACCCTTCTTTCTCTGGCCATCTTGGATACTTTCCATTATTTTTGTAATTAAAGTGCCCGTGACTTGTAAAACAGCTTGTGAGGGGATTAAAATAAATACAGTCATGACTATGTCAGCAGCTAAACAAGAATTCCAGATCACGTATAGCGGAATGGCCTCAAGCCAGTGAACATGGTTCATTCTACTGCCCTCGTGCGCAATAATTAAAATGAATTTTGTATTTGCAAATACAAATAAGAATGAACCCGTGTACTGGGTGAGCAAACAATTATCTGCCTCCAGTGCACCGAGCTAGTAAATCATCTGTGTCAATATTTGAGAAGCTGTTTCAATAGGTGTTTAAAAATAGCATGTTGAGAATTCAACATGATCATCACTCATAGGCCTACCCATCTGGCGCTTGAACCAATACCCAGTTAAGTCAATGGGCTCCTTCCCATTGATGTCAATGGGTACTGGATATGGGCACTAGTGAGATGCTTAAGATTTACTTCCTGCCCAATGGGATATAATCAGAAATGCTGCTATGAGAGATTTTTTACACTATTTAAAAAAATATAACCTGTAAAAAAAATGGACATTCCTAACATTTTGAGAAGCCTTGGAATTGGAGCATCTCCAAATATGACTAATACTTTTTCTTTAGGTGTCCTATAGTATTGACAAGCTGATACAAGTTAAGTGGGCAGTTTTAAGAGGTGGCAAGATAGAGTTAATGGGTAATTATAATGGTTTCCAATGGAGCTTCCAGATTATCACTGGAGAGATGCGGCCACATTAACTTGTGCCACCACCAGCAACATTAATAGCTTTAACCAACCATGCAAACTATTTTTATGACCAGGCTCATCACTTTTTCTCTTAAGACCCTGTCCTGTAATTCTTGCTCACACAAGTAATTAGATTGAAGACAATGGTCCCAATTCTTCTTTTAGTTAAACCTGCATAAATCTGGAATTACAATACTGCTTAAGTGGAGTTCCTCTAGATTTGTACTGATATTGAATGAGAGCAGATTCTGGCCCAAATGAACCATTTACATTAGCAAGGGTTGCAGGACAGGACTATAAGGTTATGTCTACACTGCAATGACAGGGTGTGACTGCAGCTCATGCACACATCCCAGAGGCTAGCCGTAATCTAGCTAGCTCAGGTCCCGAAGCAGAAGCTGCGCAGCGCAAACATCAGTGCAGGTAGACTTGCAAGTAATTACCCAGGATTCTGTGCTGAAGTGCATTCTGCCATACCTTCGCTGCTCCGGTGGGACCTGAGTTAGCCAGATTAAAGCTAGCACCCACAATTGCAATACAGACAGACCCTAAACGATTATAAGCAATCCGAAGACTTTGGATGCAGAAAAATTGCAAAATAAGCCCCCTCGTATGGGGGAGAGGGGAATAAACTTTGGGCTATATTAACTCTAAACAATGCTTCATTGTATAAAAATGGAATCAAATTACAGTAGGACATTTCCTGCTCACCTTACTCACATGAACAGTGCAGTTGAAGTCAATGAGATTTCTCGCATGAGTAAAGCAAACAGAATGTGGTCAAAGAGTATTTGTGAATGAATTCCCAGTGGTATTTATGTTTTTATTTAATGGCATCTTTTACTGTTTTCACTTTCTATTTTGTGAATATAGTAACCTACCTGGAGATCCATCTCTGCAAGACTAATTAACATCCGAGCTATGAACCTTTGCCAAAAGCCAACTGGGACAAAGCTCATCTTGAACACTCTTTGGACGGTGTTTGTGGAATGGTGGCATAAGCCATGGATATCTAATGCTGGTTTGGCTGGGAGGAGATGAGGTAGGAGGTAGCTGAAACAAATCAAATGTGACAGTTCAAATCTTCAATGACAGCTTTACAACAGCAGATACCTTGTACTGTGTAATAACTCAGTTTCAGTCTCCACAGAGCATTTTAATAGCACAGCCTACTGCATATAAAAAGCTTTGAGATATCGCAGCAACATATGAAGAAGGGGCAGAGAGTTACTGCTTTGAGGACTGTGCTTAATGTATGGCATGGAAATCAGCAAGTGAAGAACAGGCATTGTGCACAACAAGTAAGGTCTAGTGGAGAAGATAAAATCAATATGAAGGGGAGAACATTTGCATAAACAAAAATTAACTGCATACAAATATGCTATAGTCACTGCAATGGTATTTGGTTTCCATCAAATTCTGAAGTGACTTTT